GTAAGTTTGCAGACAACACATTGGGAGAGAGGGTTGATCTGCTTGAGGGTAGGAAGGCTCTACAGAGGGATCTGGACAGGCTGGATCGATGGGCCAAGGCCAGTTGTAAGAGGTTCAACAAGGCCAAGTGCTGGGTCCTGCACTTGGGTCACAACAACCCCATGCAGCGCTACAGGCTTGGGGAAGAGTGGCTGGAAAGCTGCCTGGCAGAGAAAGACCTGGGGGTGCTGGTTGACAGCCGGCTGAATATGAGCCGGCAGTGTGCCCAGGCGGCCAAGAAGGCCGACGGCATCCTGGCCTGCATCAGAAATAGTGTGGCTAGCAAGAGCAGGGAGGTGATTATTCCCCTGTACTTGGCACTAGCGAGGCCACATCTCGAGTACTGTGTTCAGTTTTGGGCCCCTCCCTACAGGAAAGACATTGAGGTGCTGGAGCGTGTCCAGAGAAGGGCAACCAAGTTGGTGAGGGGTCTGGAGCATAAGTCTTACGAGGAGCAGCTGAGGGAACTGGGGCTGTTTAGTCTGGAGAAAAGGAGGCTGAGGGGAGACTTTATTGCTCTCTACAACTACCTGAAAGGAGGCTGTAGTGAGGTGGGTGCTGGTCTCTTCCGTCAGGTGGCTGGAGATAGGACAAGAGGAAGTGGCCTCAAGTTGCGGCAGGGGAGGTTTAGATTGGACATTAGGAAAAATTTCTTTACTGAAAGGGTTGTCAGGCATTGGAATAGGCTGCCCAGGGAAGTGGTTGAGTCACCATCCCTGGAGATATTAAAAAAGTGCATAGACAAGGCACTTCAGGACGTGGTTTAGTGGGCATGAATGATGGCTGGACTTGATGATCTTAAAGGTCTTTTCCAACCTAAATGATTCTATGATTCTATCTTATTATACAGAGAAATTCAGTGAGTGTTAGTGCACCGTGGAAACAATCTGTGTAGTTGTCTTGAGTTCTCCAGCACTGTAATGGCAGATGCTGCAGGACCTCCACCACTGACCATCAGCAGTGCTTTCTACAGTCTGGCTTCTTTATTTTTTTGGCAGCTGGTCATTTTCTTATTCATAGTTGGGATACAGTTGGAATCCCTGTGAATTTCTTCTGCAGGAAGAGGCAGAGAAGGTTATATGAGTGTACAGAACTAAGCTGTGTTGACTAGTAAGAGAAATAATCAACAACTTTGAGGGAGGAACAGAGAAAATTATGCAGAGAGGACTGATTTGGCTTTTTCTGGGTTGATGCAGCCTTGTCTTCCTCAGGCTGAAAGCCAGGGCTCAAAGGGATTTGAAGCCTTAAATGCTGGTCTCAGGGAGAGGGGAAAAGGAAGCAGTCCAAGGAATGCTGGCGAAAGCTGCCAAGCATGCAGCAGGGAAGGCCCGTGGGCAGGAGTGCCTGTCTCTCCTAGCGAAAGATCTGGATTAGCTGCACTAAGGGGACTTTCTAATCACCACTTGTGAGCTTTGTAGAGCTGAGGGAAAACATGAATTTGTAAATGATTATACTGCTGCTTTGTGCTTCAGGGTTGACACAGCTATTAAGGCAATGCTCAATGCTTTGAATTTTGAAAGCCACAGCACTTGTTTCAGATCTCAGAAAGAGGTTAGCATTCACAATGTGCCACATCCTTATTTAACCAAAGCTTTATATGGTGACTTTAGAAGAATAGAACTGTTCAACATAGCACATGGATCAAAATTTTACATAGCAAGTGAGGCAGGTACTCTTAACCAAATGGAAACCAACCTCTGCTAGCATGTAAAAGCCTTGTATTACAAAACTTACAGCTTTATTGTACAGAAGTTCTGTTCATGTCTTTTATAGGAAGAATGTAATAAATGAGGTTTTCTGATACTCTGCTAGTCTGGATCAGTAAGGGTCACTGCATCTGCAAACCAATGGACAGAGCCTCAGCTGAAGCCAGTGAAACCCCCCTAACTTGTGTTAGTAGGGCACAGAGACTTCAGCAGTATTATTTCTTTTTCAGGTAGTCAGATGGTAGGAAATACCAAAGCCTGTAGGAGCTGTGCTAAACACAAAGCCCTGTTCAAGCTAATGATCTAATGCAAGCCCTGTGCAGGATCACAACTGTAATAATCATGACTAAACTTGCTTTTGGATCCTTTTACTCAGCAGTCTGAAAGTGCTAACAGCTACCTAAATATAGGTGAAAAAGTGACTCTGAAAGATTCAGTATGTTTGTTTCAGTCTTTCTTATGAAAACAAAAGCTGGACACTTCATGAGAAAAATCCTGAAGTCTCATGTATAAAACCTTCAGATATGAGTGCTTTGTGGTTTCAGGTGGATTGACACATTGTCAGCATTTTCTGATATTGTAATGCATAAAAATAAATATAAATATAAGCTTAGTTTGTTGTGCTCTGTTCTGAATTTTGGAGTTCTGTACAAAAAAGGCAATACTAATTAGAAAAAGCTGTATAAAGAACAAATTTGGCTGGAGATTAAATGCTGCTGATTGAATAATGCATCAAACTGTCACAGCAACAATTTTTTTAGTGACTCAAGCTTTATGAATATTTACCAGAGTTGTCCTGGACGAAAGAAATTAAAAATATTACTTTCCAGGGAACTGCTAAAGTCTTGGGTCTCCTTTACTGAAGCAAATGTTAGCATTGTTAGCAAACCACTTGTTGAGCAAGGGGAAATTGATGGGACTATTTTGCTTTACATGTGCAGAGTATCAGTGCTGGTGGTATGGGTACTCAACAAATACCACGTGAATAATCTTCTATTTAGGAATAATGCAAGGCCATCAAGCCATGTTTCTGTATGCTTAAACCTCATCTAGGGAAGAAGGATATAACAGCTGATAAACACCATTTACACCTTCCCCAAGATCAGCTGTTAACCAGTCCTCATCCTTTTTATCACTGCCACTGTCTGTAAAACGGGTGCTGCAATCCTGGGCAGCAATGTTCAGTCTCAGGGTATGGGGCCTGCAAGACACAAGTCTGGCTGTTTTCTCCTTCCTTTTAAAAGCAACTCACTCCATCTGCAGCCTGTTTCTTGGCCACCCTCTGAACTGATTGCTACAGGACTTGCTAGGATGTAAGAAAAGAGCTGCCCTATTTGGCATTAATATGGGCATGAGTATTTACCTTGGGAAGGGTGTGCTTCCAGCTAGCTGAGAGTAACAGCCCTCCTGTGCCAGGATAGGCTAGATTTATTCATTGTAACATTTCTTAAATGCTCGAGAGCTAGGACATTGTGGGCCAAGGATTTCGTAGAAGCTGAACTCAAAGTGAAGGCATGTCTTACACATTTTAATTTTACTAGGACAGAAGTTTCTCTGTTAATTTATGTATCATACATATTTCTTGCTGATGTGTTTTCAGTTCATATGTACAAACAAAATAAACCAAAGTATGCCAATTGTTGTAGAATAAAATTGCTTTCTAGTAGTGCACAGATAGAACTGGTTGACAGCTGGAAGTTCAGTATCATTGAAGCCTGTTACCTAGAAACTTCTGCTAAAGTGCTGGCAATAACACTTCTGTCTGAAGTACAGATTACATTTGAATTTGCTCAGTTCAGTTTTTCTCATTTTGAAGAATTCTTTCTCTAGTCTAGGAAAAGTCTAGGAAAGAAGTTAATGCAGAAGATTATTTCTAGAATTTCATCGGAGTGAAATTTGCCTGTGTAATATTGCCTCAGAGTAGAGATGCAGCTGGCTAGCTCATCGTTCCAGTGCTGTATTACATCAGTGCTACTGTCAGGCTCTTTTGTCTGCAGAAATCTGCAAACAGTCAAGCTTTTTGATTAATAATTCAACAGAAGCAAATATTTCTTTGGGATTTCACTTCTGTCCTAAATCTCTACTTTCCACGCTATGTTAGTGGAACAAAATGCAGTTGAATTTTATCAGTAAGCTCTACTGAGTGTTATCCCATTAACTGTCTGCGTTCTAGCATATTGGATCTGTATTGCCTAGAAACAGTAGCTTTGAGTAAAGAAAATGAGGCACTTTGGACTGGATTCTCAGAACACACTGACTTCGTCCCCTCTGCTGTCTGACTTTCTAAAACCACTGCCTTTTTGGATACAGTATTTTCAACTTATTTAGATGGCCATACTAGAGAAGAAATTGTTTAAGTCCTTTATTACAAAGATCAAAAGTAATGGTTACCATTTACATACACAATTTACAAATTATTCACAAAAGGAATAACAGATACACAAGAACTGACAGCTTACTTCAGCCCAAGTTGGGGATGGGACAGTGTATTTATTTCCCTGCTTTATTTACTGAAAGAAAAGATGTATTTGCTTTTCATTGTCTGTATGTGTTAAACACTGATCTAGTGTTTATGTAGCACCTTTAGTCATAACCATGCCAATGCTTACATGCTTATCTTTATTTGAAAGAGTGCAATGCATTAAACATGCATGCGGATCTGTACTCTCTTCATACTGCTGACTGTTTGTTGTTCAGATTCTGTTGATTTTGATACAATACAGTGGTGAGGCTTGAAAAAGTTGATTTGTAAGATTTTACTGATTTGAGCAATGTGTCATTAAAACAAAAATGGAGATTACTATCAGAACTCTTATTCTAAGAACTAAATTAAGTATGGTTGCTATATCTTTAAAGAATACTATATGATCTTAAGATAGATATTAGCCATGTTGTTAAATCTCTTTGATATAACTGATTTATTGCTTTTCCTTCATTCAGGTTAGCATGTTTTATACCGTCTCCTAAAGCTATTTCAGAGACTGGGAAACTTAACAAGAAAGAATCCTATTTCAGAGATTTGGTAAATTAGCAAATCTTTCACAGAATGTCTTACAGCACTTAACAAACAGGAGAATGAGTTTCCAAATCCCCTGGTATGAAAGCACAATATCAACAGTGCAGTAGCTGCCATTTAGCTAAACCTACAAGTATCCATAATTTGCACTTTTTGCTGTCCACTGGGATGACATGTATGACAAAATGCTTGGAGGAGCAAGCACACCAATTTAGGAGCAAACACAAATATAAATACAGAAATCACCAATGTGATGTTGCATCCAAATTCTAAGCAAAAAAGCAAAACACTTCACAAAAGTTGTTACATCTAGTGGAACTGTTTAGTGGGAATAATCCAAATACTTACAACAGTATTATGATGGTATGACTTTCTACCCAGCTATCAAATATTCTTTACTATGAACTTTTCAGTATTCTCAGGGTGACAGATAAAGAATGTTGCAGATGCCATGGTAAACTTAAAATACAGTAATAGGCGAAGATTTTAGTGGCACCACCTGTATATACAACATAGTTGTTGCAACCTTATGGAACAAAGCAACAGTACAGTATGCCTTTGTTAAGGCTTCTTGCTGGTTTAAAAAGGTAGATTTTTCTTTAGGGAGATTGTCCAGCAGTATTGGTTTTGCATCTCTTCAATGGAAGGTCTCTTTATTGATCCACATAAGACTGCGCGTTTCATTTGGTTTGCATTCGTACTCAATACTGCCAAAACTGTTTCCCCATTGGCAATGATCCCGTTTGTGGTAGTTGTAGAATTTGACTTGCCAGACTGTTTCAAAAACGCCAATGTCGTTAAACTGCGAGGAAAAGGCAATATCAGTGTTAGTGAAGTGATTATTTTGTTGGTTTCTCTATCTTAATGAGAAACAACACTCTTATGAAACTATGGAACATAAACCAGCTGATATAAGGGTCGTTGTTCCTCAAGTCAACAAATCAAAGATCTGTAAAGCCTGCTCTAGCAGTCATAAAGTTTTTTATGCTTAGGCATATATAAAACATGAAGGATCAGATTCTCCAGGTACTGTTCTCTTGCACTTTTATCTGGGAAAGGCAAGGGAGTAAAAATGTTCCAAGTTCCCATATGGATAAATGTTACTAACAGCAAGACTCAAAGCTGTAATCCTTCCTAAGATGACACATCAGTAGTTGGCCCGATGATCTCTAAGTGGCTTGTATGTACTGTAGATCATGTAGCAGTGATCTGTAGTGATACAGGGCCATCACTTCACCTTTATACCATACCTAGAGGCTGCAGTTAGGATTGGGAAGATTTTTTTTTCTTTTGCTCAGTCTGAAATCTTTAACATCCCTGTATTTTGTAACCTTGTGTTTACAGTGTCTTGACTGAGATGTGCTGCTATTAGACCACCTACTCCTTTCCTGGCATTCTGTTCCATGTCTTACATGGAACTTAAGCAAAAGAAGTTCTTTGTGCATTTCTGTAATTGCTAGTTGTACTGTGATAGCGCAGCTTTTCAAACAGATATGAGTAACAGAAGCTAGGAAGGAGATAATCAGTGTGTTTAGCAGATAAGTGTCTAATACAGTGAAGGAGTAGTGAGAGATTGACTGTAAGTTGACTGATTGCGCTTGCAACTCTGAAGTGAATGAGACTATGTCTATAGTAAGTTCTGTAGAATAAAATCTTTTTTTTTTTTTAGCCACTGCTATACACACTTACAGCATCAGAAAAACCTTATGAGTGAGGCTTTCAAGGACAGATTATGATTTCATTTATAATGGTGATATAAAATTTGAGTTCCTGTGCCCTGAGACCTTGCAGAGAATCCGAAGTGTGGGTGTGAAGCCTGTATGTATTGCTGTTGGTCCCAGTAGTATGGCTTGTTGATTGTGTTATGTTGTTAGAAGATACTAGATAGTGGATTCAGTGCTACTGAACAGCACTGTTCTTCAATGTTTTTTCCTTTTAAATATTTCCATCACTCACTTTAATGACAGCTTCTTCACTTGACTGTTTTCCATTCCCATCATGTGCCTGTGAGCTGACCTTTGATCATCTGCCTATTATAACCACACTTGCAAAGTCAATATGAAAGCCCTTCCCGACTCTTCCTGAATTGCAAGCAGAGCCTTCTTGTATCCAGTTTTCTCAGGACATGTTTGTTTGTTTGTTTTTAATTCAAGATGCAGTTTGTAAGCTGCTGCTGCGTAATGGACATTGCTCTAAACCTTCCCCCAGCCTACTGTGGTAACTTAAATTTAGCCTTGACAACAGCAGGAGTTGCTGTGTGCTGTTAGTGGAAGGTTTTTATTTGGCTCCAGTTCCAAGTGTTACCTTAAAGGAGTAGCTGAAATATTTCTGCTACTTCCTTTGACAAAGAAAGAATCAGATGTACAGGCTATTTTATCTCTCCTAGCAACTAAAACCTTAAATAGGGATTATTATTTTTTTTTATTAATCATCTTTGATAGTAATCCTGATATACTCATAATGCAAGATGGTGAAGGTTAAGCACATTGGATATTACTGTGCACAATCCACAAAGAGAAATTTTCAGAAGGGAGCATCAGCCATCCTCAGTGTGGAAACTGAGGAAGAAAAGGCATTACTAATAGCATTTGTAGAAGGTGATATGATACAAGAGCAGCATTTCATTTCATTAATGTATGGAGGATCTGAATTTTAACAAGATAGAGGAAGAAAAATTCTATGTTCCTCCAACAACCCAGATTGCTGAGCTACCCTGAGTAGTTTGACTGCTGTGGGTTTTCAGGAGGAGGGAAGAATTAATTGTAGAGCTTTTCCAGTCCCATGTGCCACCACAACACCCACACCCCCCACACCCACACCCCCCCAGCCCAGTACTTAGCAGATGCAGCAGCTCTGTGGCATAATGAGCATTCTGCATCCTCAGACCTCCCCTGAATTCTCATGGCTTGTGCAGCTGAATTCTGGCTCATCCACTGGGGCTGTATATGGGTCCTACTCTTTGTAGGTCAGGCTTAGAAGCCTATTTCCCTGTCTGCTATTCTCTGTCATCCAGTGCTATAGGTGTGAATAGTTATTTAATCACTCCCTCTGAATTTGCATGCTAGGATGATTTAATGGCTATTTATTACTGGGAATAGAGGTCTAGCTTCTTTATTCAATCTTAGTCTAGTCTGACCAAGAATAAAATGAGACCCAAAGAGAGGTTTCTAACTTAATTTACACCATTTGCTAGACAGTTTAGCAGTTTCTGGATAGTGCACATAATTGAGCATTCAGGTAACAGAAATGCATCCTCAGATTCTGGAATTCAGAAATAGGATTGTTGTTTTACATGTATAAACTATGGCTGTAATAGGTCAGATGTCTACTAGCCAGTTAAAGTAGGAGCACAAAGAATTATTTGTTTGAAGTTTTAAAGCAGATGGGAAACAAAGTCTTAAGGACCTTTATGGACCTTCTGTCTTTCGGGCATTAGATTGGCAGTATCAGACCGGTTTTTAACTGCAGGACTGACCTCACAATCTATTTCTAATGTGAGTTCAGATTTTATGCTGTAAATAGTGTCCTTATCTCCCTAGGATGCATCAGGATCCTGCCTGTTCTAGAAAAGGAAGTGGAGGCAGAAGTTCCTCATAGTTGAAGGAAATAGGAAAATGTAAAGCTGTAAGCAATAAGCCCAGTTTTGAAGATTCAGGAAGTAGGTATTAGAAGCAGTTTTGGGACTGTGGTATCTGAGCTTGGTTCCCTAAATCTGTTACAGCTCCATCTAGCTAAGCAGCTAAATGATGAGTTAAACATGTAAATCCCTGTTGAGTTGCCTATATTTAATACTTAAAAGTATCAATTGTGGACACTTAAGTCTGTACTGAAGAACCCATCTATCAAGATCAAATCCTAAAAGGTGTTGAGGACCTACTTAATGCTTGAAAATCATATTAGCTTCATGGTTAGTATCCCAGGATTTGATTTGGTAGAAGCAACTGTTTGGACAAATATTGTGGCTACTTACTCTGATGCTGCAACAAACCATCTTGGAGCTTGTACCTGAAAATCAGACCGTCCTTGCATTTTTGGGAATTACTTCATTTGTGATTTGACTTGGTTTTCTCCATAAGAAAAGTTAAACTTTCAGATTTTCAGAGTTCACATCAGTGCTACTCTTAAGGGCAAAGGTGGCTATCAAAATAGGGATGCCTTGGTCAAAGCAGCTTTTTTGGGGGGGAGTGCTGCCCTTTCACCTCCTGGTATAAGGACATTGTGAAATATAACTGCAATATTTAACAGTGGCATCCAGCAGCCCTGTTCTGCTTGAGAAGTTATACTGGGTGTTTGGTTTTCCTAGGTGTTAAAAGGAGGTGACTGTATAGAAAAGTGATTAATGTGGACAAATACTTCAGGGTAGTCTTATTAACCTAAGATTATGAAGTGGTAACTGTTAATGGGATGTGGGTCTCCAAAATTAAGTTATGCATGCTGTAATTATTAGAAACTCCAAATGGAGATGTTACAGTTCTTACTCAGAAGGGGATTACCATGCTAAATGATGATTCCAGAAAAAAATAGTGAAGATAAAGATGAAATCTTGTGTGCAGTGAGCAAATGTGAGATAAAAGCTGAAATCTGGTGGGCTTGGCAAGGTCTTAAACATGTATAAGTTGGAACAGACTCTTAAGAGAGCTTCAGATGAAGATAGCTTACTGCCCTGTTTCCCCTTTTTGGTACAGGAAGCATAGAATAAACAGCAGGAATCCCTCACAACTGTAATCAGGAGAGGGGAAAAAAAAAACCCCACAAACAACCAAACAAAAGCCAGAACAAAAGAAATCTCACTTTGCACCCTGAGTGCTGTGGAAATCCGCCTGCTACTCTTCCAATCTTCTGTCAGCTCTGCTGCCTTACAGGCTGGAGCTTTTGTCATCTCACTTTGGGGCCATGGCATATACTGATTCTGACTCTTAGAGCTTCTCTTCAAGGTTGGAGTGAGGAGCCACTTGTGTAAGAATTAAGGTTTGTGGATGCAGAGATAATGTGATAATGGGAGCATATGGGGAAAGAAAGGGAGACAACAGCCTGAGGGGGGTGCTGTTCTTATGCATGCTTTCAGCCTCTGGCAGGCCCTCAGGCATCCTGCAGATGACAGGTGGAAGGGGAGAGTAGTCATCTCTTGTGCTTGGGGCATGCTGTGCTCAAAAAAATCTGGCAGTGCTGGCAGATAAAAGGAGAGGTCCCTGTATGCCAAGGGCTTGTGCTTGGATTCCTAGCCAGGGACCTTGGTGGGAGTTGTCTGAAGTCTATAATACGTCCTGCAGAAGAGGCGAGATGTTCAGCTCTCATTTCTTTCTGCTGCAGCACCCCAAAGGGCTTTGCAGGTCTCTAGAAATCCCCCTACTAATTCCTGGCCCTTGCTGCTCTTTTGGCTTCCCCTTGGGAAGCAGGGCTTGTGTTTTCCAGCTACTCTCTGACCAGCGGTCTTACTGATGCAAAGCAGAGAGGAGGGCAGCAGCTTGATCAGACTTTGCGCTGGAATATTTCACCTCAAGACCTCTCTGGGAGTCAACCCCCTGCTGCCCTCTCTTGTCATCCCATGCCAGGCTTGGAGAAACACATACCTGCATGTTGACCTGGATGGGCTGTCTCTCCCCGCTCTTGGTATGGGGCACCCCTTCTGTATCGTAGATCCCTGTGTAAGAGGCCACCTGTGCATCCCTCGATTTCTCTTCCAGTGGGACATTGACGCCCCCAATGCCCATTGTCCTGTAAAGAGATGGGATCCATCCTTTCAGTAGCCCTGCAGGTCCCCTTCCCTAGCAGCTTGAAGCAAGCATGTGGCCTGGCAGCCTCTGTGCTGGGGGATGCTTCAGGGATTTTGGCAGACCTGCAGGTGTTGCTGACTCACTGGGGCCCCTGAAAAATGTCAGGGCTCTGCAGTCACCCAGGGAAGGTGTAGAAAGGAAAGGCAGGAGGGATCTGATGTCGAGTAGCTGGGGAGAGGTTATTTGAATCTCTTCTCCAGGCGTGCCCCTCCACCCAGAGCTGGTTCCCCATGTGCATCCTCCCTAGTCCCAGTCTCTGCTTTGCCATGCTGCAGCGAGGCTTGGGCATGATGCATCTCTGACATGCAGGGCTGGAGGGGCCTTCTCCCTCTGCCTCCAGGGCAAACCGTGGGGAAGGAGGGAGAAAAGGAGCTGGGCTTGAAAGAGCTCTCTCAGGAGGTGGGGAGGGAGAGGGAAGGAAGTGACTCCCAAACGTGCCTCTCTTCTGAGCCAGCCGGGCAAAGCACTGGGAACAGTTCGTCAGGGACCTAGAAACAGGGCCACCAAAGCAAAAGGGCGGGGAGGGAGAAATCATGGAAACCCTGTGCTGTCAGCCTGCCAGGAAAAAATATTAAACCTCTAAAAATAAAGCAGCGGGGAAGGGAGGGTCAGGGAAGCAGCCCCAAGCCGGGAGGCTGCTGCACTTACGTGGCCTGGACGGTGCCGGGCCGAAGGGCCACCTCAATCTTGTACTTGGCTCCGGTCAGCAGCTTGATGGTGCGGTTCTGGCCGAAGCGCTGCCCGTCCACCTTGAAATACACCGCCCCGTCGTTGGGCTGGATTTTGAGGGAGACGCTGATTTTCACGAGGCCGGGGATGTCGTCCATCGCTTGTCGCCGGGGTGGAGGGGGGCGCTGCGGGCTCTGCGCTCGTCTCGCCCCCTCCGCGGAAGGCGGCTGGCCGGGAGAGGAGAGCGAGGCTGTGAGGGAGAGGAAGAGGAGGAGGGAGGAGGAAGAGGAGGGGCTGCCGGATCCCAACCAGCCCAGCCCTTCCCAAAAGCAGCGGATGATATATTTGGTTTTTTCCCTCCCCCTAATCGCGGCGCAGCATCTGGGCAGCGGATGTACACACCCCTCCGCCCCCCCATCACCCGGGTTGGGGGACATTTGCAGCTGCCCAGATTGCAGCCGGTTTCCAGGCAGTAAATCCGGCCCTGATTACTGCAGCCTTAATCCCGTCATTCGTACCGGAGGGGAGCACGGGGGGCCCGTCCCGGGCCGGGCGGGCGCCGCCGCCGCCGTTCAGCACCACGGGCGCGGACAGCGGCGCGGGCAGGCAGCGCCCCACAGGGCTCCTCCGCCGGCGGGCAGCGCGCCGTGGGGTCTTGTCGGAGGAGGGACTCCTTCCCCCCCCCCCCCAAACCCCCCTGCGGACCCATCCCCTCACCGCGGGGAGCCGTCTCCCGCGGGCTGATCGAGCCCTCTGGGGTGGGCTGAGGCATCTGCGTAGCGGCACGCAGGAGCCAGAGCTGCCTGAGAGGGAGGGGAGGGCGGAGAGCAAAGACGTGTTTTTGTGGCTCTTCTCTCTCCCTGTACGGCAAAAGGTTTTTGTGAGCCCACCATGCTAGACTGAGTGTTAGTTTCTTGCTCCCCGAAGTCAACAGTCAACATTAATATTTGGTTCAGGGTTTCTGTTGGGATTTTTTTAATCACTTTATTGCAATCTTCTTATTTTAATAGAAAAAAAATCCCACCATAATTGCAGTATCAGATCAGAATCTCATTTCTTTGAGTCTAATACTACTCTTTACCTATGGCTGGTACCATTTTTTCAAAGAGAAAGATCTCTGAAACTGGAGGTTGTACCATAATTCCACTCTCCACAGGTCTCATTCGTGTCTAACAGTTAGATTGATTTTAACCCAGGAGCAGGTTTGTGCATCCCTTCCATTCCTTTGCATTTGTTCTTGTTTGCTGGTAAAACTGCAGCATTCTTATGGCTGACAGAGGACTTGGGTCACAAATATATTTTTTGTTTGATTGGACATAATGGCAGAGTTAATGATTTTGTTAGGAGAATTTCACAGCTGCATGTTGCACTGGACCTGAACTTTTCTTTGTTTTTCTAAAGCTGGGATGCACACATGGTGGTAAAATGTAGTAGTATTGCTAAGCCAAATGGAAGATATAGCATTACCCAGGTGCCTTTCTTTGTGCATGCAAGTTAATTAGTGAATTAATTTTATTGTGAACATTAAGAAAAAGAATGCATCCTGCTGAAACATTAACCTCTGGGAAAAAAAAAAAAAAGAAATCCTAGTGTATTTGCATTGATTAGGTATCCAGCTAAGAATATGCTTCATAATGTGGCCAGGCAGCCAGGTTTCTGCAAAGATAAGGGTAGGACATGATCCCTGCCTCTCAGAACTGTGTATGTGTTGAGTTTTGTAAGTAACATCCTACCTTCGATGGCGCTCACTGGCAGCAGAGTCCCCCATAGGGAGGTTGTTACACAATGCAGTCATTGCTTCTCCTACTGAACAGTCAAGAGTGAAACAAATGCTATTAAAAAAAACCCTAACATTTCCCTATGTACGATGAAGTGGTGGAATTATCAACATTAATATATGAGAAGAATCTTTTGGGTTTGGTCAGTCACCTAAGACTCTTGTATTGTCAAAGGGCACCTAATCAAAGAGTAGTTGCATCTATCAAGCAGTAAGTTGCAGGAGCAACTCATTCCACAGTGGGAGCCAACATTTGATCATGAATCATACACTGAACTCCAACAATTTATTGCAAAGATCTTTGCTGACTTTAAAGGTCCTCAAAAGCAGTCCACAAAAAGTTAGGTAAAGTTAATCCCTCCAACCGTTGTCAAGGTCAACAATGAATGGTCTTGAAAATATCTTGGAAGTTACCAGACAATCAAGTTGTATGCATAGGTTTTCAGATAAGGAAGCAGCTGCTATATATGGACACATAGCTCATAACAGTATGGCTCCGCAAAAGAAGACCACATGTGCGTTTCTCCCTATCATTTTTGCTCGTTGCAAGAGAATTCTGATTTTTCATTCTATTCTGCTGAAACTGCTGCACTTTGTGGCTTGTTGAAACTTTTGCTTGCAGCAATTCCCACTTCTGTAAGTTTAAATGTAATTCAGTACAAAATCACAGAGGCCTTACACATGGGGAATCTGATAGTATCACTTAAAGTGGTGTGTGAAGAATAATGGCCATTGCCAGGGATCAGTTTTACTCGGCTCGTGGGCCAGACATATCATGTTGTAGTAAATTGTGTGTAGCTGAAGACATTGATTGCAATTAGTTTCCCAAGTACATGAGAGCTCAGATCTATAACGAGTTTTTTTTTCCCCTTATTATTTCTGCCTGAGTGATCATCTTTCTCTGACACAGCTCAGGCTGTGACTTTATTCCAGACCGCTATGGCAAAAAGTGGTAAACATGAGGGAGAACTAAAAAAGCATCATATTATGGATTACGTGTGCATAGGCCAAGTAACTGTTTTACCATGTGAAAGTGAAACATGGTGAGAGTAGAACGTTTATGAAGAAGAAATTTTAAATGTAGGCATTGCCTTTCTTTTTATCCATCTGATAAAGGGGTTGCCTTTGCTAAGTCTTTCTGGGAGCTTAGTTTTGTTGCTGCCCACGTTAATGGCCCTGACCAGCCTCACCTGGGGCCTCTACCCACACCTATGCCCACGGGCCCTATTTCAGCTCAGCCCTGGGCCTTCAGTCTCTTCCTGAGTTATGCTTAGGAGTGCTGGTTTCCAGCTCTGCCACAGACATATCCAGCCATAGATGCTGTTGATCTTGACCTGTAGGCTGACTACCTGGCTTGACCTCAGCCCATCCCTATGGAGATTCCAGATGCTGTGGGCTGCCCCCTCACTGAGGGTGGTTGGATGGCCCCTGGCTAGAGAAACCCATGCCCTTCCAGTCTCCATGGGGGTTTTCTATGGGTCCCAGCCCCCAGGCTGCTGCATGGTTACCTGAAATTAATTGCTTGATATTCTATAGGGAGCAAAATACCTGCAGGAAGAAGGAGGCAGTGTGGTTTTGCCAGGAGCACAGAGCAAATGGGCTGATGTTTACAAGATTCAAAGCTAAATAGATGATCATAGGCTTAGGACAAGGTCCCATTTCTCCTAAGCCACAGCAGTAATTTACTTCCAGATAAATTTGTGTCCATTCCGCCATTCTCTACACCTACATTTGAGGGGTGGGGGTTGGAATCTTTAATGTCTTTGTAAAATGCAAAACTGCTTTTTTGGGTTTTTTTTCAGTCCTTCAAATCGACCTTTTGTTCCCCTGGCACTTGAGGCTTCCCAGCCTGTTGTCTGGAGTTAGCAAGGTACATTAAGCTAATTCACTTCACTTGGAGCAGGAACATTGCAGCACTCCCCTGTGCCCTGGTGAACCCCTTAGTGCTTTTGAAGGGAGTGGTGAGCTCCTACAAGTGAGCTGCAGCCAGTATGCTCAGCTATTCTCATCTTTCTGTCTCTTCCCAGAACTAGTAAAGTCTTCTCACACTGCAGCTTCATCCTCCAAGACCTCTCTCTTGTGCTTAGGCCTTCCCTGCTGCAGCTACATTGCCTGCATGTATCTCTGATGGGGAACTAGTGTAGGGGAGAGGTGAGTATGTCACAGGTGAGGTTGGATGCATCCAATGAAAAGTCAGAGCTAATATGCACATAAGCCATGGCCTATGCTTTGCGCTGGTCCAATTTGTGTAGAAAACATTCTGGAGAAATCCATTTGGTCTCTCGACTGCATCCACTCAATATGATCTCTCTATGAGTAATAATATGTCAACTGTATAAGCTTTTCAGTATTACCATTTATGCAAGCCTTCCCACTTAGAGTTAATGCACTAATCCTGCTGCATAGCTCCACAATAATTAAATATATGAAATGTGCCTTGAGGTCCAAACAGGACAGTTAATTTATGACAGCCAACCCACAGTATTCAGATTCCAAGGTGACGTGGACAATACCTGTAATAGTCTTTTCATGCTTGCTCCTCTTTGGTTCCTTTCTTAACACAGTGGCAAATTTGGAAATGTTCTGGTTTGGGATTTCTTTTCGAGAAGTGAATGCAAAGCCACAATCTCTCATTCACTAAAAATAGCCATATGTGTTATTCGTATGGAGTGAATTGTGCTGAGACTTGCACCTGCCAGCTCTCAGTTTAATACTGTAATTCTTTTGAGACCTTTGCCTCTGTGCAAAAGTGAGAAAGGGTTTTACTGAACTATAAGCTGGACCCAGTCTCTATCACCTTTGCAAACCACTTGTGTATATTATTTTTCCCATGTAGACAATCATTTTGAACATATAGCATTTGATTTAATTTCCCCTGGAAATGCAGCTGGATTTGCTGGAGATGCATATTTATGGAGAACTCACGTGCTCTGCTACAGATGGAGTGGGCTTATGGCGTTTACAATGCAGCAAGCATGTTTGAAGAACAGCTCTGCAAGGGCTAGTAGAGAGAGCAGTGAAGCTGATGTAACAAGCTGAGAAACCACCTGTATTCCTTGCAGCTGACGTATTTAATTGCAAAGATATGGTTCCAATTTTCAGTATAAATGCCCATCAGTCTCTCAGCTAGATCTCTCGCTCAGATAAATGTGGTTGATTGCTTTTTTTTATTTTATTTTTAATGATTGCAGGAGTGGACCTTGAAGTAGCAGAAAAAAACCAGAATCCTCTGAGGAAATACAGCAGCAAGATCTCCTGTACAAGAACAGATCACTCGCCAGTAAACTGAGCCAAGATGCTCAGCTCTGTTGCAGATTGTGCTATTGTGACAAATGTTGCTAATCCAGCATCATGCACCATTACCTACTTCGGACAGAAATGGGGAGAACAGGGTAAGTTATAGCAGGTTTTCACAATGCAGGTTACTTTCTCTTTCTGCCAGACAAGGCTCTTTCCTCCCCTCTGTGGAGAGCTGGAAGAAATACAGCTCTTCCTCTCTCATGCCTGGTGCTGCTCTTTAGGAATGGCTGCACAAAGAAGATGTGCTTCAGCAGTCCAGGCTGTCCCTCACACTTGCCATGGCCACTGTATGATTAAGGACCATTTTGCTTCACATGAATGATTTAGCTGATCAGGCCATTTCTGCCTGGGGGAAGCTGAAGTGCTGATTCCCCTGTGGTGATCTGTCATAAATGAAACCAAGCCTTAGTGTTAAAAGAAAAGGATTGTTCTGGACACATAAGGTAGAAGGGCAGAAGGAGTAGCTGAGCTTTGAAGATGAAATAGAAACAGTATAGAGAAGTGTTATAGAAATAGTTGCTTCCAGCTAATACTGGATGGAGGTAATTTTATGCTTTGACACTGAGTTGCTTAAGTAGCTAATGTTAAATTGTGGAGTCGTTGGCTTGGTGCCACTGTGTCTAAAATCACATTTCACACCTCCAAGGGCTTTTCATGCAGGTAAATGAGAAACTGAGCTTTTGTGAAATTGTGGAGTCAGCATCCTTTTCTGTTCACATTAAACCACTTTTTAGTATAAGGTCATACAGATATTCTATTGAAGAGGATCTGTCCTTGGACATTTTATATCATCAATTTATCGTGCAGGGCCCTGTTATCCTGACTCAGCACAAACGCTGAACTAGTAGGGACAGGCGAGCAGGAAAACCTGCTCAGAGGCTGCCTGCAGGGAGGAAAATGCTGGCAGATTTCTTTGTCTTTGTTCCCCATAACCCTTCCAGCTGTGGAAAGGGTTTCCTTTCCTCAGGTCTGAGGGACAGCAAGGTAGACACAGAAGGAAGAGCTAACTGTGAGCCACTTCTTGTTCTCTAATGCTTACCCCCAGCTCTGTAGCGTTATGGCCTCAAACCAGCTAATAAAGGGATAGTTTGGCTACCAGCCATACAGTGAAAGGTATTTAATCTGAGTTGTGGTTGTCTATGACCTGTATTTTTGCGTTAATCCAATCACAGGAAAAAAAAAAAGTGTGCCTTTTCCCAAAGATGGAACCACTGGAGTGAAAGGGAAGAGAAGGAAATAATTCACCTTCTTAAAGCAAAAGGAATTACTGACCAAGAAAGACATTATACAGTAAGAATCTCCTGAGTCCATCGAGCATCATTTTAAGGCTTATGGGAAATGAAAGGAGCCTTCACAGAAATATAACTCAGAAACTCAGATCATCTCAACTCTGGAATGCATCTTCAATTCATTCCAGGCCTTGGGACTGGTAGGCAGATTCTTTATTGTGCATGTGACACAAAGCTTTTTGCTCACTTTTTAGTGATAAAATACTACTTTTAGCTCTATTCCCAAAGAGCATGAAGCTTTTATTAGCTATGTGTGAGTTTCTGTCCCTCTAATAATTTTAGAATCTGTTGGCTGATGTCAAGTACACTTGACAGCCAGAGAATTGGAAAGCGTATATTGAATCTTCGATTTGCAAACTGCCTAATGGATGATTGGCTTGGTCAGAAACTAGGGCCTTTAATAGCAATTAGATCCTCACAGCAGCATGATTTACATGAGCAAAGGAACAATGTACTGAGACTGTAGGATCTACAAGAAACAAGACCTGAACAACCTAATGATGCATAAATTCATCATCACAAAAAGGTATGCTTTGGGCAGAATGTGCTGCAAAGTGTATAGCCTGAGACTGCTGACACAAACAGGTGCTCTGCCTGAAGATGAGACTGGAGGGGTCATTTAAGCAGCAGTTAGTTGAGAAAGATCTGGAAAGGAAAATCTCAGTTCAGACAGTGAAGAGAAACATTCAGCAGTTGGGATAGTGAAGCACTAATACAGATAAGCAAGGAAGGAGTGGAGTCTCATCTGTGGGAGAACCACTAAATAGCCATCAGTGAGGAATGGCTAGAGAAAGTCTTTGAGGGCTCTTCTAATCTTCTGATCCTCTGTCACAGACCTTGTCAGACTTCTGTGTACTTCTGACTAAAGGCTGAGACAGAGAGAGTCAAATGGAGAGCAGGAATGTCTGCAGAAAAAGTCCCTGTTTGGGGATCTTTACAAGCGGCAGAGGTGCCAGATGGAGTAATCCTGGGCTCAACCCTTATCTCAGTGGGCTCAGCTGTAAAAGTGACTTGAGTCTTGTGCATGGGAGAATGCTCTTGGCAATGCAGCAGCCTCCTTATTGCCTCCCATATACCACCACCCTTCCTTCTGTATGGGGAAGAGGGATTGTGGCTCTGGTATATACCAACTTTTGGAAAATTACAGTTTTGCCTTATCTTTTACCAAATATAGCCAAATGAGCTCTGCAGCAAGTAAAAGATGCTCGTAGAAAGTGGCATTCTGCAGTGCTTTATGTAAAGTGCTGGTCTAATCCATTTATGCCTATTTGACAGGTAACCTTTTTGGGAGGCTTCAGCACCAAACCCCAAAAGCTGATCAAGTCCGATAAACAAATTTCTTGTATCAGCAGAGGGCGCATCGTCATTAACCAAGTGAGGGCCCTCCAGCTCTCTGCCAGACCCCACCCGCTCACCCACTGGGCATCAGACTTCAAAGATGGGATGAAGTGACAGAACCGGTGAGTTGGAAACCTGTCTGTGAGATCCTTTTGGCACGCACCAAGCAGCAACACAGCATGCCACCCTGTTTGTTGTTTTGCTAGAGTTCATGTATTTGCAAAATGGGCCTGATTTCCTGGGATTGGGCATTAAAATGCTTTTTTTAATCTCCCAGGTCACTGTCATCAAGGCTGGCCATATTTGGTACAGTTGAGCATTTTGTCAGGCTGTTGCCTGTTCTGTCAGAGGCAAATTATAAATACACATGTGCTTCTGCGTTTCCCTATCTCTCACTCTGTAAGAGGAAATGGGCTTGTTTTCATGTGATTAGCAGGCAGAGGAACTTGTGAAAGTGACACAGCTGTACTGTAAAAACACCAGCCCACGGACTTTGCTGCCAGAGGAACTTAACTGCCAGCGCTGATAGACCTGAGAGCAGGATTGCCTCAGACATGGAGCGAGAACCAATGCGCATAAGGGAGGGCTACTTGGTTAAGAAGGTAAGTGGGCAGTTTTGGACGGAGTGGAGGAGGAAGCTAACTCTGAAGAGGTTGGGGAGGTGTAGGGAAACATACTTTGGTTTCAGTTATTAAAACAAGGATCATTTTTTCCAAAAAGAAAGGGCAAATGAACAGAATTCCTTGAGCAGTAAAACAATGTGGTGTTAGTGATTATAGAGGTACTTGTTAGCAGTTATATCTTGTCAGAATACTACAAAAGACATTTTGCACATATCTCAGATGTACCTTTGGATCAAAAGATTTGTATTTTTATGAAGAAACCTAATGCCCTTAGTGGAAGCTTGGCAAAATAGGTAACAGCTTGAAATGGCCACAGCCTACTCGATTGCACTTAATCTCCGAGTTAAACATCAAGGAAGCATAGTGAGATTAAAGAGGTCTGATCACCTTGTTCTAGAGACAATGCCTGGGGCCACAGGCACTTCCCTTCTTTGGGAAGGCAGTTGCTGCTCCACAGCAACCTCTGCTCTGGAGCCTTTTGTGGTAAAGCCCATGGGATAAAGCCTTGACTTCCATTTAAATCTATAGTGACATCAGTCTGGCTTAAAGCAGCCTAACTAAACAGTGTCAGTCCTAGAGCAAGAGAAGAGCTCTCTCCTGTGGTATCTCTGCTCATCAAAATGAGAATTTCACTCACTAGAACAGCTGGCTGGAGGGATCTCTAATCTGGGACCAGTGTTATGAAGAGGCCACTCCTCAGTCTTACTTCCACTGACACTGAAAGGAAGTAAGTTCATAAAGTAATTGCAAAGCTGCAGTGATGCTGTCACGAGGAAGGAGAGCGCCAAATTCGTGCTGTGTAGATTGCAGATATCTAGTTCCAATGGCCTGATATATAGAGAAGTGGCTCATGATCTATATTCCTCCATGACAGGGGAATGGCTGGAAACTTAGACGGTGGGACAATCCCAAACTGTGCCCAGCTGGGTATGCTGGGGAAAAGATGCATACAGATGTGCCAGTGTCAGTGCCTCACATTCCTATAGGTGCTGGGTCCCCCAAAAGTCTCTCTGTGCAGGTACTACTAAAGTTGCTGCTCAGTGCTGCTGCAATGGTAACAGGGAAATGGAAATTGTGCCCGTTTCCTAGAACAGCCTCATAGATGGCTCTGTCCTTACAGAAGTGAGCTTATGCTGGTGGTGAGGAGCAGCAGTATGCTAGAGGAAGGGCTGGAGGGAAAAAGAGCAGAAGATGCAGATCAGACGGGTACCGGCTGTTTGATACATCAGTGAGGCTGCTGTGCATTCTACAACCAGAGCTTCCAGCAAGAACAAGCATGCTTCTGATTAACCTTACCTGCTAATTATGTACTCTCCTCCTCTCCTTTGTGCCTGTAAAGTGAAACCAAGGATTTGACCTCCCAAAGGAGTCATCCATGCAGCCACAGCGATCTTTGCAGAGAGTGAAGGCCATTTGTCACTGACTTTCTCCTCTTGATATTTACATTAGGCTGGGGGACAGTGTTTTGCTCGGGGATCAGTGCTTTAACTGGGACAATGTGACCTCCAGTAAATGTGGGTTCAGACTTCAGTGTTGATTTAGGTCAGCTTAAACCTCTGTATATTTTGGGGACCTTGTGTCATCTTCTGAGCATAAGAAACAGCTAATTTTTTAATCTTGTAGTGCTGTAGATCTTCTAAAAAGAAGTTGTTCTACCAAAGGGAAGTTGTTTGTGTTTTTAAAGTGGCTAATGATTTCAGGAGCAATTCATTGAACACTGCTCTGTATCTGCAGTCTTTGGAGTGGGTGTGACAATTTGATTTTTAGTCCAGGAAGATAAAATCCAGCATCCTACTCGCTTGTCTTTCATGAGATGTTTTAGATGAGAACAATGTGACCATGTTTGGGTTTGCTGGTGGTGTGGATCTGAGACTGCCAATCTAACACTGCCCTGTGGTGGCTTCCATTGGCAGAGCATGACAGAGTCTGGTCTTCAGGAATTGATGGACTTGTCTGATTATGAGCAGAAGTACTATAACCTGTGTTAAACCCACAAACAAAAGGAAATTGCAACAGTTCTTGTCTTGGCTCATCATCTGAATTGATTTCTTAGCAGAAAAGCAACCAGTGTGTCAATTTGGCCTCTCAAAAAATGGTAAATTCTTATGGCTTATTAAAAAAACCAACCCAGAATCAAAAGAAAACAGCAGTCAACCCATATGTGGTACCCAGATGAGACTTTTTTTAGTTCCCTGTTTAGCTAGAGAACCCCCAGGGCAGTGACTTTCCTTCAGAAGGTAGCATTCATTTGTAGGGCACCTTCTGCTTCCAGTGAGGGCTGCAGAGGCTGGAAGCAGGTCCTGCTCTTAATAAGATCTCAGCTGACGGTTTTCCCTCCCCACCCTGTAATTGAACATAAGGTCTGATTCAGAGTGCAAAAGGCCTTTGTTGGAAGGTAGGGCAGCAAAAAAGGATGTGACAGACAAAGGTTTCATTTGGAGAATAAGAAAAAAAGACTCGGCATGTTTCTGTCCCATTTGCTTCTGCAGAAATACAAAATGCAAGTATAACTAACTCTGCCCAGCTCTTAGGTTTAACAAATCAAAACAAGCCATCTGCACAGCACAAAGGTGTCTGCTTTGCTTCCGTCTGCATCTTTAGCACTGCTCAGCCACCATGGTTTGAGGAGGACAGGGATGCTGTGGATGGAGTTGTAGGATGGGAAGGATAAATTTAGGTCTCTCTTTGTAACAGAAAGAGCAAGGGAAGTTAATATTTTTGAAGAATGGCCTCTGATTTGAGGACCACAAATGTTGGTTGCACTTTGGTAACTCTTCAGAGGAGTTGTTGGTATTCAGCATATCTAAATGTTCACTTGGCTGAGCAGTAAAGTCACTTGGGTATCTGGGATTGTGACCACTTCTGAAGCTGGTTGCAGGCAGGACGAGAGAGGCCTTCTAACTAGAGTGCAACAGTCTTAGTAATTCTAGTGGTTAATTGTGCTGAACACGGAGAGACAGCTTGTTCCTCTCTAAGCCCCTGAGAGTTTTGCTGTGTGTTTCACTGTATGTAGGATCTGGCCCTATCTTTTTCTCTGTATGTCTTACATCTAACAGCCGTGTTTCAGGAATAGGAAGTAAAAGCTTTAAAAGATGAAATGAAGCACCTCAGTTCCTCAACACAGCAGTTGGAGATCTGCAGCCTCAAGCCCTTAAACTGTTCATTACTCTTACAGTTTGTTCTTATATGTCTAGAAATCGTCTGAGATGTGTGCTTTCTTATCAGAGAGCCAAGCCTCAGTGACTGACTGTATTGTAGCATCAAGTCCTAAATACAGCACAGGATGCCCAACTTAATGAGGCAGTCCTAATGTGCCAGTTCACATCCAGAAATTTTGAGCTTTATTCATAATATTGCCACTATGTCATCTTGAAGACACTGGTTGGGACTAACTGATACTGAAGAGAAACACCTGCTGGGGCAGGCAATGCGATTTTGGAAAAACTTATGGCTGGGGTGACTACAAGGGGAAATTAATGGTGGTCAGAAGAATAACAACAATGGTTTTTAACTGCATAGTAAGATGGGTGTGGTTGTGGTATGTTCCCGTTGAGACACTAACTATAGCTATTTTAGTGTCAGTCAGACACTCCCTGGAAGGTCATATCTTCAGTGGGTATCATGTGAAGAGTGATTTATTGAACATAATATACACGGTGATTTACTGATGCAGGGCAGCATGTTTAATACCTGGAAGCCGATGTGGGTTGTGCTTTTAGAAGATGGAATTGAATTCTACAAGCGGAAGGCTGACAACAGCCCCAAAGGGATGGTCCCACTAAAAGGAAGCTCTATTAACAGCCCATGCCATGATTTTGGCAAAAGAATGGTAAGTACTTTTTAAATAACAATTATTGACAGTATACTTATACTCCTGGAGGCACTGAAGGGGCACAAGGGTGGTGGTTACAAATTCCTTGCACTTATCCTAGTGGCAACTCTTGCTTGCCTTAGAAAGTCACAAGCAGGCTTGGACTTGTGTCATGTTCGAAAGGTGTGACTGCTCAGGAAAAATTCAGGGTACTTCAAGAGGACCAATTCAGAAAGTGATTTTTTTCTTTTTTCCCTTTTTTTTTTTTTTTTTTTTTAAGTCTCAGTCTGTCAGAGAGCAGAGCCAAATTATATTGTTGTGAGGACACTTAGCAGCTGAATGGTGCAACTCCTGTATTAAATATAAATCTAGCTGCCACAGAATAAAGATGTGGGAAGCTATTTCATGAGCAGTGGAAGCATTTATTTACTGCCAAAGAGCAACAACTGGCTTGCTCAGACAGGAAGGAGATAAATGCTGTGACACAAATGCCCACATAAAGCTGTAATTCCAAACCTTTTTATTACCATTTGGTAAGTACCCGACCCCACACACTTCACATTCATGCAATCTGTATTAATTGCACACTGCATTGTTTCTTGTAGGGCTTTTGCAAGTGACTGAGAGTCACGCCTACACTCAGAGAGAGCGAACAAAAAGCAAAACTGATTTAGAGACAGTAGTTCAAATGTTGCCTACACTTTTGGGATCTCTAAGGTCGAGGGTAGGAAGTGCACAGACTGAGGTCCCAATTCCCGGTGAAATGCACAAATCACTATATTCACAAATTCAGAGTCTTATTTGACAGAAAATAAGATACAGGAAGATAAATGTACAAGCATACTTATTTTGTTATAAGGTTCCTGAAAAATAGTTGTTGGTAAAACAGCATTTCTAGTATGAGCAAAGAATCATATCTTTAGTCAGTCATTTGTTATTTCAGCAACTCAGTTTCATCGAATAGGCATTATACCCCCCAGGAATTCCTCTGACAAAGGGTTCTCCCAGAATCTGGAAGATTATCCAATTACAGTTTAAAGAAATTTACTGCAAGGATGCCTGACTAAAGAGAGAAGTCTCTGAGAGCATTAGAACAGAAAGAAAGTGTGAGAGACTGCATGAGACAGTAAGCTTCACTTTCTCATATAAATAAAGTGGGGAGAATTATATCTGTCCTTAGGTTTTGTGGCAAGTGGAGTCAGGGTCCCTGGTGTCAGGTTTGGACCTGCTGGCTTTCCTTTTTCCCTCCTTTCTTCTTTTCTTTCTTCTACTTCTTTCTTTTATTTTTCTTTTTTTTTTCCTTCTTTGTGTAGACCCCATATTTATATATAAAAAAAGTTGATTCTTACAGAGTCTTTTTAGACTTACATCTATTAAGAAAAAGGGGGTCTTAACTTAAAAGCTCTCTTTGAGGCAGTACAATAAAAGGATGGGGCAGAGAATAAAGATTGCTGTTAACCCTGTGCTGAGTTAAAGACATTGTAGATGACTGCTTCTCCTGGGAACAAAAAATTTTAGAAGACCATTACCTTGGAAATCCCACCCAGAGCAGGATCATCAAAAGCTACCTGCTTCCTAGCTCTCTCCCAAGTACTGGGAGTTGTCCATAGAAGGAGACTGTATTATCACACTTGGAAGGAGAATTGCACAATCATGCATTCCCACCTGTCATGGTTTAACCCCAGCCAGTAACTAGGCACCACACAGCTGCTCACTCACTTACCCCCTACCCAGTGGGATGGGGGAGAGAATCGGGGAAAAAAAGCAAAACTCATGGGCTGAGATAAAGACAGTTTAATAGGACAGAAAGGAAGAAAATAATAATGATAATAAAGAATTGGACTATACAATGGTGCACAATGCAATTGCTCACCATTTGCCGACTGATGCCCAGTTAGTTCCTGAGCAGTGATCCACCCCACCCCCCGGCCCCAGCCAACTCCCCACAGTTTATATACTGGGCACAATGTCACCTGGTATGGAATACCCCTTTGGCCAGTTTGGGTCAGCTGTCCTGGCTGTGTTCCCTCCCAACTTCTTGTGTCCCTCCAGCCTTCTTGCTGGCTGGGAATGAGAAGCTGAAAAGTCTTTGACTTAGTCTAAACACTACTTAGCAACAACTGAAAACAACAGTGTGTTATCAACATTCTTCTTATACTGAATCCAAGACATAACACTATACCAACTACTAGAAAGAAAATTATTCCAGCTGAAACCAGGACACCACCCCATGCCCATCATAGATTTTTTGATCCCTGAGCTGGCAAGGGTGATTGTCCAACTGATTCAAAAGGGTTTGAGATTGACTGCTGGTCAAGCCCGTTTACTCTTCTTTATTGCTAACAGCTCCTGCCTGAGCCACCCTTGGGCATAGCTGGGCAAACCTTACTGTTTAACCCCTGCAGCTTTGGATCTGACCTTCTGCTTCAGCCAGCATGGCTGTGTGTCAGTGCATTGCCTGGGTGCCCGCTGGGAGCTCTTTGTTACAGCACTTGGCTTTACATCTTTTGCAAACCATAAATAATAAAGGTGAAGTGTAATTACATCTAGGAACTAGAGCATGGCGCAGGAACATTAAATAACCAAATAAAGGAACAGAAATAAGTATATCTGCACACATTTCGTTCTATTTCTGCTGATTTGAAACCATGTTCCTATATTATCTAATTAACAAGCCTCAGCACAGCACTCCTTACTCTATATATGAGGTATAATGCATGGGGAGAAGGGTACTATGTTCAAGAGTATCACAGATCCTACGTTATAATGGTAGAAATTAAGTTTTTCCCACAAAGCATTCCTTTTCAAACAGTTTTGTGGATTTTTTTGTTTGGTTTTTTTTTGACTCCCACAGAGGCACTGACATCAGTATTGGTCTATAGTAGTTGTTTGGGAATGTCAGGAACAGTAACACATTTAACAATAATGAAAAAATAATTCACCAGCATATGTGCATTCTACAAAATAGGCAGAGAGGTCTGAAGTATCTGCTGTCTGCAGTATCTGATGTCTGCTGAAGGCAGACATCCAGAGAGAGATCCTTACCTGCCCTAAGAGTTGCTTGAGAATGTACCAGTTTGCAGAAGATGCTTTACATCTGTATGAAAGGGTGATGAAGTCTTTGAGGATTGTTCCTTTGACTGCAATGAATTTTACATTATGCTTCATTTCACATTATGAGTTTACATAATGAGTTTTACATTATGGTTCATTTTAGTTGCTGGGGCCTTTTCTGAGGGAAAATACAGATAAAAGGAAGGATGTCAGACCTGGGGGTTGAGGCACCCAAAACACCTTTTCATAAGTAAAATCTGATGCAGAGTTTGCTGAAGTCAATGGAAGCGATCCGAACAACTTCAGCAGGTGTTGGAGCAGATCCTCCTTATTGAGTTGGTGAGATCAAGCCCATAGACCAACAGCCCTGGAGACTTATTTTCTCTTAAAATTTGCACTGTTCAGTCAAAACTGCAACATGCTTATTCATATGAGCAATGCCATCACTGGGATTGTTCTTAGAAGCAGTTACTGCCCAATATGATTAAACATAAATTTCTACATGTATTCCTTGAAAATGTAGTGTGTTGATTTTTATATCTTACATTTTACAGCTTTGCTATACTGCTGAATCCAATGCCTCTGCATTCCATCCTGCCTTCTCATTGGTTACATGCCAAAACATACAGTTCTTCCTCTTATGGGAATTATTCTGATTCTTAGTGGTTTGCATACATTTACTTCATATGGCTAGAAATGAAAGTATATTTTTAGCACAGGAGTTCTGTAGGGTGAAAATTAGGTCAGTTTTAAGTCCAGTCTCACTCATTTGAGCCCAGTTTGGAGCAGGAACTATTGAGCCATGAGCAGATTTTTACATTCATCTGGTTAGATTTCAGCTTTTTGAATTGGCTTGTGTATCTGCATCAGGTGTAGCTTGAAACCTCAGAGCTCATCGCCAACACACTTTGTTTACTAAATCAATTGTAAAAAGCAGGTGCTGAGGGGAAAGTAAGCAATCTTGGATTTGTTAAACAGAGATATAGCCTGTTCAGAAGAGGCTGCAACTGCATATTTTGAGATTATATTTCAAAATGCATTTACCACTGTTCGCTGTTCTTGATCTGAAGTTTGATCATTCTTAATGTGATGTTAATTTTGCTATACTTGTGCTTTCTCTGTTTTGCCCATGGCTTTCCTGTGGATAGTATTATCATGTAAGGTTGCTCATAGTCAGATTCATTTGTCCTAACTTGAACTATCTAAAATGTTGTTGTTTAGTTCAGTCTAATGGTTTAATTTTCTCAAAAGCACAAACAGATACGCATCATCAGAGGGAGACTTAGTCACTTCTAGGATTGGAGACTCAACCTCTTCACCAATTTCAGAGGAAGCCTGGATGTCTAGCTTAGTAGCCTAGCTTTCTGAAAGCTAAAGTTAAGAGAAAGCTTTCCCAGTCTCCTCTGTGTACTGGAAATAAAAACTCTTCTTTAGGATTTCACTGTACGATGCTTCTCAGCTCTTTGACTTCAAGAATGCTGATTTTTCCTTTGGTAAAAGCTTGCTTTAATGCTTTGATATTTCATTCTGTTAATCTGGTGTGTTAGCGTGACTCTTGGATATTAGGATTTGGAGAGATCTGTCTGTTTGCTTTTCATATGCACTGTACATTGATTTTCAGGATGTAGCTCTTTACTGTATGATAGAAAAGGTGGCTGTTGCTGGAAATATGAACAGTGTCAGATAAGAAATGGTTACTTTTCTGTCTGAAATGGATTTTTGAGGACCCAATGCTTTGTAAGTTTGAAATCTGTCTTCCATGAAAGTCAGCAGGACTTCTGCACAATTTTAGGGTGTCAGAATTTTTCTCATTGGCAACAATCTGGAAGATGTGTATTAGGGATGTTCAGAAATGTGCCATTTACAAATGCAGGCTTCAGTAGACTCATTCAGTGTTTTGATTTCATTGCTGTAGATACACCACTCTCTGCTCTTTGACAATAGTTTCTACTTTACTTGCCCTCATAAAGCCATGCTGTTTGCTTGCTGATTAGCCTGTCATTTTTAGATGCCTGCTGAGTCAGAACCTGTTGTATTTATTCTAATACAACTACGGAACAAATTACAGTTCCACTTACAGGGAACTATATTTTAGAGGAAGTGGAAACCCTCTTGACTGAGTAATTAGATCCAGGTTTTTCCACCCAAAAGATCACTGGATGAAAACGAGATCAAACAATGTGAACTTTGTGGGTTTTTTTCCAGGTAGGTGTTATTTTTTCTGCTTAGAACTACCTTTAAAAGACCTTTTCTCATTTTGGGGAAATACAGTCTTTCCATTGTTGCTGATGTGTTTACATAGGAGATGATCATAAGGTGTAGCCAAGGTATGGATGTATCATCTCCCTACCAAGCTAGGTTTGCTAGGCTGCAAATGTGTTCAGCTACTATCCAATGTGACTGTGACCTTTTCTCCCCTTGTGAATCAGTAGCTGAGCAACATGATGTGGGGTTGTTTGTTTTTTTCCTCCTTCAGGCTGACCACATCTCTATAAACATTAAGATGAATTTACACCCACTGTAAGCCTGCAGGGGCTGGGCACTTCAGCCTTTCAGCTGTGTTGAACTTCCCAGCAAAAGTTAAAATCAGCAGCTGTATCAGTGCCACTCACCGTGGCTGTACTGACAATGTTAGGATTGCTCAGAGGGAAATAACAAAAGGAGTCAGTTATCTGCACTGCCTGTTCATGTACTTCTTCAGAGTTTTTTAACTGTGGCTCTAAGGCACTTTCTGTAGTCCCTTAGGCACAGGTAGGCTGTATGTCGTGGTGGTACTAGGTTAATCATGCCCAACTGGCTATTCCAAAGTAACTTTTAATAAAACATTTATCACTCCAGTTTGTCTTCAAGCTCACTGCAGCCAAGCAGCAGGACCACTTTTTTCAAGCTGCCTACCTGGAGGAGAGAGATGCCTGGGTACGGGATATCAAGAAAGCAATTCATTGCATAGATGGAGGCCAAAGGTTTGCCAGAAAATCCACAAGAAGGTCTATCAGACTGCCTGAAACAATCAACCTGAGGTTTGTTCTCATAGCTCTGCTCCCTCATTTACTTCCATCCACAGGGAGTGTTCGAGATATGTAAGCTCAGTCTGGAAGAACTATTGAGCATGTGTCCTGGGTTCAGCTGGGATAGAGTTAATTTTTACAGGAACCTGGGAGGTGGGGGGCATAGCCGGGGCAGCTGACCTGAACTGGCCAAGGAGCTATTCCATACCATGTGACATCATGCTCAGTATATAAATGGGGAGCGGCCGGGGGCTGGTCTCTACTTTCGGTGGGGGAAGTGGCGGAGCGTCGGGTCCCGGGTGGTGAGCAGTTGCACTGTGCATCACTCTTTTTGTATACTCTTTCATTAGTACCGTTGTTGTTGTTGCAATTTCTTTGTGTTGTTCCAGTAAACTGCCTTTATCTCAACCCTCGAGGTTCCAGGTTTGGGGTTTTTTTTCTCTCCTCCGTCTTCCCCCCCTATCCCACCGGAGGGGGGCGGGAGGAGTGAGCGAGCGGCCGCGTGGTCCTTTGTTACCGGCTGGGCTAAAACCACGACAGCGTGTTTGCCCATGCTACCTCTCTGGTTTTCCTCAGAGTCCCTTCTGCATGTCGTAACAGTTTCAGAGCATATAATGTGGCAGAAATGAGCTAGCAATCAGAACTGGGAAAATCATTTTTAATACATCATCTTTTACCAAAACTTGCTTATTTATCAAAGGATTTTGCTGATAAGGAGGTTTCTGAGCACACTGCAGTGCAAAAGGAGAGCCCAGCCAAAGTGTGATTCTTCCAGGAGAGGCATTTTTATACAATATATAATTTATTGCAGAAATATTTTAAACCTTTTGTTTGCTTTTCAGAGAAACACTGATGTTAGCCTAGTTTTTGGATAGTGAGGGGAGAGTGGTGCCTGTCAGAGAACTTGGAACTAGCAAAGGGGGAACAAGAGATAAAGGGCACACACAGGAAGCCATCTGTTTGTCAGTACTTAAAAAATCAGGGACAACTTATTTTTTGCTTCTGAGCAGTAAATACGAAGATACAAATGAGCCTGCAGTGCTCCTTAGAGGACAGTAAAACTGCATAGGGCCAAGATCCAACTAAATCTGACTTCACAGGTTTCAGCAGAGGATCACCCTGACTAACAGGCCAAAGGACTTAGCCTGTGACATTTAATATTCGTCCTTGTCATTCCAGAGCTCCAAGGAATTAGAGTTCTGAGCAAGTGAAAAGTGGGTGGGAGGAAGGAAGTCAGACTGGGGTCACTGAGGTTACTTGGGGCCTCTGAGAGCATACAGGCTAGGAGATGTCACAGTTATAGATTTTCTGCTCAGCCAAGGACCTTTGGGGGAATGTAGCAAAGCAGTGAGCTCCCCTATCAGCGCAGAGGCTGTGGGGCCCTGTGAGGGTGCCTCAGCAGTGGGTGTTCCTCTCTTCACACTACAGTCACCACAAGTTGTTCCATTCTCAAAATATGGGGGTGTGGTGAGCCATTTGTGCACTCCCCACTCTGCTCCTGCAGCTGTGACAGTGATGTAGTGAGGCCTCTAGGTTTTGCAACGTAAATTTTTCAGGAGATTAAACTAAGCCATGCTATAGTTCTGCAGAGGTCAATATGCCAGCAAAACATGAAGACCCTGTGAATGACAATGATATTGTATGAACTAGCTAAAGCTTTTTATTTGCTAACAGTTTCTGTGGTTCTTTTTATGCACAGTGCTTTGTACCTCTCAATGAAAGATCCTGAAAAGGGAATAAAGGAGTTGAAACTGGAAAAAGATAAAAAAGTGTTCAATCACTGCTTTACAGGTAAGGAGTTCTTGTCCTTCTTTTCCATACGATAAAGGGAGCACAGGGCCAAGAGGCTAAAGATAGATAAAATAGCTCTAAGCTCTGTAGAGCACAGAGAAGTTTGAGAAGAAAACCTGGCAGATGTTTTCCTGACCAACGCAGGAGGTTCTCAAAAGATGAAGGTTGAAAAAGTGTTCAGTTATGGCCATGATAAGCAAGAGAGGAGGAAGAAATTTAACCAGTGCCAGAAAGATGGAAGTAGATCTTTGTAGAAAGTTGCATGAAACACTTAACTCCAGTAGAATTATTCCTTTCTGAATTTTTCATCAACAAACTGTGTCACATTGTAATTCCTGTCCTGCTCCAAGTCAAATCTGGGGTGCTAGAGTTGGAAGTCACCCTGTTTTGACAGCACTGTGACAGTAACATAGCAGCCTGGAAGACTGCTTTCTCCAGGCTTGGCTGTCCTTCATACTTCCCCAGTCCCTGTCCCTTCCCAGTTCAGTCCTCCATCCCCTCCCAGCTCTCTTCTCCCTCAGGTACAGTGTTCAGGAGTTGTACTGGCCCCTGCCATCAGTCAGATCGGCTGTGCCTCACTGGATGACCCAGGCACCTTTCCAGATTAGCTCTCTGTGTTGTCACTAAGAACATCTTTCAGGAGATTGCTGAATAGATGGAGTAGGCTTGTTGCCTGTGGATTTTTAAGCTTCTTCGTGTCTGTCTTCATTTGTGGCTCATACTGTTTGTTCCTTTGTAACAAGGCACCTGTGTGATTGACTGGCTGGTGTCCAGCAACTCCATCCGAAATCGCAAAGAAGGTCTCATGCTTGCCTCCTCGCTCTTGAGTGAAGGCTACCTACAGCCTGCAGGGGATACATCCAAGGCTGCTGCCGAGGGCCTGTCAGACACCCCCTTCTTAGATCTCAGCGATGCTTACTATTACTTTGTGAGTGTTGTATTCTGTTTCTTTTTTTATTGTTTCAGACTTACTGATGCTCTGCTTTTCTCAGGCTTCTTGTCAGGCTTCTTAAGTCCTGGAGGAAAGATTGTACAGAAATGGAGAGATCCGTGTTAATTGTCATTCTCTACATGATGCTCAGAATGAACTGGCTTACTTTAATATTTGTAGGCAGGACATTTTTTTCTGGCACTCTTCTAAGTGTGAACTGAGTGCTGAGATCAAGGTGGGTTCTTTTTAAGTTAGACTTTGTTCCTGGTAATTTTAGCAGTGACCAGAATTTAGCCATCAGTTTTCCTGATGATTCAGTGGAAGGGAAGAGAGTAATTCATTATCATGGGGTTTCTCAGAGTGGCACAAGCTACAAACCCATTTTTGGGCAAAGCCATCAAATCTGACTCAGCACGTGTGTGCACACAGCTTGCCTGTGAGCGAAGAAGCAAAAGTTTTTAATATCCCCCAGTAACACCTGTCCTGGGTAGCTCACCCAATCTTTTCAATTTATTGCTTCATATTCTGTAGATTGATTTGAAGAACTTGCAATATCACGATCACAGTCAAATACTGTTTTAAAAAAAAGTTTGGCTTATGAACTTACACTAATAAAAAAGTATGCCTTCTATTAAGTAAAAATGCTTGAATATTATAATTCTGTTTATATTTACCACATAGAATCACTTGACTTCAGCAAAGTAACTCTCCCATTACTTCATTTGTTTTCCTAGAATGTGTCTGTGGTAGGGAGACTACCTGTGCAGCAATGGAAGTAGAGATACTGCTGGTGAAGGCAGCCTTGTGGCCATCTCAGCTCCTGGCTACCTGGGACACTTCTAGCAGCCCATGTGCACTCTGCTCACTTTCAGCTTGTCTCTAGTTTGATTCAATACCAATGTGGTGTGAGGAGATCACAGCAGGTCAATATCTAACTTGCTGTCATAGAAGTAGGCACCACAGATGTTTACTCAAAGCCATACGAATGGTTACCTACATTTACATCATTTGAATAATGTAAGGTTTCAGTAAGTAGCATCACAATTTGTCTGGTGTGGAATGGATGTGATGCATGGATCCTGAGATAGCCTGTGCTCAGTGCACACATCACAACATCACAGTTCTAGAAAATTGCAAATTTCAAAAACTAGGGGCAGTTCTTGTGGTTGGAGAAGACAGCCTACATGGAGTATTTCTTCTTCCCAAATTCTAGATGGTTGTGATGGATGGCGGAAGAGGAAGGGTGTGTTGTAGCAGGGATGGCCAGCCTGGAGTGTATTGGCTGTGCTGGCATTGCTTCATATGAACTGCTGCCTGTGCATTGAAAAATGTGTGACATTATGGGATTGAGGCAGCCTGTCCATCATGGAGGAAATGTGACACCAAGGATCATGGAGAACGGAGGCACTGACATATACACAGGTGCTCCAGCTCTCTTCAGATGCCCTGAGACCCATTGGTGTATTCCTGCCTCACACTGAAATGCTTCCATGATGACTTGGAGAGCTCTTCAACTTCACTGGGAGATTTTTCCAGTAAAAGAGTTGATTTTTTGGGTGGAAAAAAACAGAGTGGAGGGAAGCCAGATTTGTACATGTACATAAACATGCAGCAGCTGTGTAACTTCTGAATTTTCTCTTGTGGTCATGCAGCCAGACAGTGGGTTTTTCTGCGAGGGAAATTCTAGTGATGATGATGTGGTCCTGAAAGAAGAATTCAGAGGCATAGTAGTCAAACAAGGATGTTTGCTGAAACAGGTCAGTATTGCACATGTTCCATCCTGTCACTGGGATGATGTTGCATGGATACAAGATTACTCTTTTACACCTAAAAGCTTTAGAGAAGAGAGAAACTAGTCTGTGCCATCTCCACACTTGACAGGTTTCTTCTCTGTTCCTCTTGCCTTTGCAGAAAGAACGTTTGCTGTAGCATGGCAGCAGAGCTTTTGCCGAACGTTGCAAGGTTTATTGCTCTTATTATGAAATAAGACAGTTTATAGTTTTAATTAGGAAAGAGTGCTAAAGCAGGAGATGCAACAAGTCATTGGTACAATGCAGAACTGAACTGGTAAAAAGGCTGCCAATCCAGTGTCCCTTTGGACACACAACTGGATTCAGCTGCCACTTTTCACAGGCTTTTTTAGCATACCTAAGCAAAGCAGTCCTTTCAGTCACTAACGCTTGATCCTGTCCCATCCGTAAGACGGAAGATAACTGTATACCTTCCTTTCCAGCAAAACTTTAAGCAATACAGTGAACTTCATGGTAAAATCCTTACTTTCTGAGGCCACTACAGACAGGTAGTAGTGAACTGAAGGCAACACCAGGATTCTTCAATGAATAGAATAGTTCAGTTTGAAGGGACCTACAACAATCATTTAGTCTAACTGCCTTACCACTTCAGAGCTGACCAAAGGTTAAAGCATATTATTAAGGGCATTGTCCAAATGCCTCTTAAACACTGACAGACATGGGGCATTGACCACCTCTCTAGGAAGCCTGTTCCAGTGTTTGATCACTCTCTTTGTAAAGAAATGCTTCCTAATATCAAGTCTGAACTTCCACTGTTAAAATATACCTTGAGAGCCTAAGAACTTTTTGGTGGTGCTCACTTGTCTCTTGCTTAATCAGATTACTCAAAAGCAATGGAAGAAATTGGATATGGGTGTTGCTGCTAACTTTTACCCTGTCACATTCACCTCTGCCTAGTTAGTAAGAGCTTTCTTGCAGACGGTGTAGTTAATTAAGAAACTATTGTTTTGAAATGCCAAGAGGAAGTGATTCATGACAGTCTTCCACCAGTGTTAGTCTGGATTTGGTCACCCTCAGTGAGTTGTGGATCACTGCTTGGAAGTGTCACTGCTTCTGCTGAGAATGCCTGTTTCCAAGACTGAAATGATGGGTGGGGAAAATCTAGATGTGCTAAAAGCAATGAGGCATTGTTGTGGTTTAACCCCAGCCAGCAACTAACCACGCAGCCGCTCACTCACTTCCCCCCAACCAGTGGGATGGGGGAG